ATGTAATCTCACCATGGTTAACCCTTTGCTGTACGTCCTGGATGGAAGTTTTAATTATTTCACAAAATGGTTTTCAAATTTAATCATCCTCATGAATAGTACTTTTTGTTTTTGTTTTTCGAGACAGGGTTTCTCTGTGTAGCTTTGCGCCTTTCCTGGAACTCACTTGGTAGCCCAGGCTGGCCTCGAACTCACGGAGATCCGCCTGCCTCTGCCTCCCGAGTGTTCTGTTACATTTTATTCCGGGCTCTCTTTAGATTATTTCTCATATATAAAGCTATTTCTTCCATTGTGGTCTTAAGTAGTATTTATTCCCTAGTGGTAATTAAAAAAAAATCATAATTATACCATTCCATGTTCCTGAAATTTTTCTTTTCAATTTATAATTTAAAAAAGCCTTTGTAACATAGAGTATTTGTTAATCAAATATAATTTACAGAGAAAATTTTACAAATATGTATTTATAATTGTCCCTCGGGAATAAGGTTTTTTCTAGAGCAGTGGTTCTCAACCTTCCTAATGCTGCGACCCTTTAATACAGTTCCTCATGTTGTGGTGACCCCCAACCATAAATTCACATCATTGCTAATCCTAACTGTCATTTTGTTACTGTTCTGAGTCCTAATGTAAACATTTTTGGAGACAGAGGGTTGACAAAGGGGTTGTGGCCCACAGATTGAGAACCACCGTTCTAGATGAATCAAGTGGTCTGCTGGACAGGGCATATTATGTGTGCAAGTTTGCTTCCAGGACGCCAGTGCCTTTTTTTATTGCTGTAGATTAAAAGTCAGCTGCCTAAGGAAGAGTTCTAGTTTTAAGTAAGGTCCCTCTGTCCTTAGCCTCTGACCCTGGGATGTCAGGACATGGAACACAGTGTGGAATGATGATGAGCACTTTTAGAGAATGAAAGGTTTTTCCTAAAGGATTCCCTCATTTTATATCTTCATCCGATCTGTTTTCTGATTTCTTCCCTTAATTTAAAAAGTTATATCACACACCTTTAGTCCCAGCACTCTGGCAGGCAGATATCCGAGTTCAAGGCCAGCCTGGTCTACAGAGTGAGTTCCAGGACAGCCAGGGCTACACAGGGAAAGCCTGTCTCCAAAAATCAAACGAGTGAGGTTATTAATGGAGGTTGGAGAGATGGTTCAGTGGTTCAGAGCACTTGGCTGCTCCTGCCGGGGACCCAGGTTCCCGTCTCAGCAAGCCCATGGTGGCTGGCTTACAGCTAGTTGTTCGGGGTACCTGCCTTCATGACTTTCCCAGGTCCCACCCCGCAGAAGCAGGGCCTGTGAAATGGTGCAGAGGAGAATGCATGTGTTCATGAGGTCCTGGAGTCTCTTCAGTCTGTGCCTGACTGCCGTGAGTGACCGGGGCTCTGTGCCTGCTGCTAGTCCTCTTACTTGATGCCTGTCCCCACTGACCTTCTGTGTGGGTTTTGGAAAACACCTTTGGTCAGCCTGCTGTCTCATCCTGCAGAAGTTACCCGACTCCAGCTTTTGAGTCTCGCAGAGGATTGCCTTCCATTCTCTTTGTTCTGGCCGGTCTCCATCTTCGTGTCTGTCAGCGGCATTTCAGCGAGCTGCCAGGGCTGAGTAGAAATGAGTGGACATGCTTTACCCGCTTTTCATTCTTCCATGTTTTCACGTGTCCATCAGGTTCTCAGTCCTGGGGGCTGGCCGGGATAGGCAGCCTTTCTAACCTAGCCGCCCCTAAAGTCAATGGAGTCTGAGGAGTGTGGGAGAGCTGTGCCTGTGCCGCTGCTGACCGAGACCTGCTCTGCACCTCTCCATGGGCTGCGGAGGAATGAGAAGCATGCCAAGATTCTAAGGCAGTCTTGTTAAAGATAGGATGTTTTAAAATATATATACTTTATGTGCCATAGTAAACATTCAGAAAACAAAGGAGTATTCCGTGAGATCATCTTGATGCGTTAGAGCCTTACTTACGGTCTCCAGGGGCTTCTGAGGTTATGCTAGAATAAATTCTAGATATTTCCAGAGCATTCAAGCTTGTACACCCCTGTCTTCCCTCACCTATTGTCTTAGACAGATGAGAGGCCATTATTCTGTGGCCCATCATTTCCAGTTAACGTAGCTTCGGGTGGTTGTAATAGTAATATATCTAAATCAATCCCAGCGTCTCCTGATCTGTAGTTGTACCGGATTGCAGCTTGCAGTCCGGACGGGTGTGATGTCCGCATGTATGAGGCAGACGTTTCCTCCCCCTCCCCTCACTGTTGCTGGCTGTAGCTCGTGCTTGAGAATGGCCTCTCTGTTGGGCAGAGACAGACAGTGGGCTGATTTTCTTGTTGTTTCTTTTATACATCCTACATATCATCTCCCAATTAACTCCCGTTCAGTGACTGTTGTATACATTAAAGATTTAGAATCTCATAACGTAACTGTTTGTCCTTTTTCCCACTGCTGTACTGATTTCTGCCATAGACATATTTTACCCCAAGGTAATAGGCTCAGTGATCACAGAAGCTCATTTGAAAGTCACCATTTATTTTGTAAACAAACATTCCCGTGCTTCCCAATGCTAGGGCCTGAGTGTGGCGGTACTGACAGCATGGGGGGACATAGCAGATGACCTCATCCCGTGTGTAAAGCCTGTGACTCTCAGTCCACCAGCTCACTGTGGAAGCATGACCGAACAGGACTAACAGGAGCAGGAAGAAGAGGCCTTGCTCTGAGGAGGGCTGGGCCACCACGGAAACCTCGGGAAAGAGGTGTCTGGTGCCGTGAAAAGTGAGGATAGGTGGGCCTCTGGCATTCGTTCTGGGACCCGGGGACAGAGCTGAGATGGTGGCATGTCCAAGCTTGAGTCCCGAGAAGCCGTTTGTGTCCCAGGAGGGGTTTGGACTTGTCCCAGGGAAGCCACGTGGGGTTTCCACGCCAAGAGAAGATAAAAGCAAATCTGTGGCCAAGTGAGAAATGGGTTGGGAGCAGTGAGCAGGGGAGCAGTGAGGAGGCAGAACCTGAGCCCTGCAGACTTATGCTCAGCACCAAGGGATATAAACTGCCACAGTGGACAGTTAGCTGGTCCTTGGAACCCAGTCACTATTTTATGACAATCTATGAAAAAATTGCTCTGTGTCCCTGGTTATTGGCTTAAAATGTACCTTTTTAGTTGAGATATTTCTGTATCCATATGTAGTTGTAAGAATTAGCTGGGCAGTGGTGGCGCACGCCTTTAATCCCAACCTTTGGGAGGCAGAGGCACGCAGATCTCTGAGTTCGAGGCCAGCCTGGTCTACAGAGCGAGATCCAGGACAGGCACCAAAAGTACACAGAGAAACCCTGTCTCAAAAAACAAAAGAAAACAACAACAAAGAATTAACATTTCCCTTTTGATTTTGCCCAATTTCCACCAATGTAGCTTTCTGGAAAGCCCTCACATCTGCATAGGAGGTAGATACTGTCTGTTACAGTTCTACAAAACCCACACACACAGCAGCTTGGAGTGAGCTGGGAGCTATTAGGTCCAACTGTGTGGCTCTCATTTATTCAATTCCCAGAGCGCTCTGCTGAGGCTGGCAGTAAGTTTCCCAATACCTTTGTGTTTGCTGAACTGTTAGAAGGCTGAGGATGTGTGGATTCACACACCATGCCTTTGAGCGCTGTTGCCTTGGCCTCTCTGACTTGCTTGCTGTCTTGATGTGAGTCTTTAAACTGTTAGGCAGTATTGTGGGTCTAACTGATGGAGCTGGACTTTGAAATGGTATAAGGAAATAGGAGGCATGCTGTGTTCTTTTATCGGTATTGTTCACGTGATAGTGTGAAAGGGCGCTGTGGAACGCTGGTTTTATTGCGGTGACCAAAGGGCTTTGGAGAGTGTATGTCTTAGCTGACATTAAAAGTAAAGACAACCTAAGCTGTTCCATGGACATTAAAGTTTATTGAAATAAAATGTAGATATCTCTGTCCCCCTCATCAGAGCCCATGACCTTCAATGACTTGCTTCCTGTCATATGAGGTGACTCACTGAGTAGTATCTGACTTAGAAAAGCTTGTCACCAAATGAATTTGACTAATAAGAAAGAAGTCAGCAAGACTGAAAATCATACAGGTTTCTCCAGAGACTAAAGAGCGTCTCCCGGGCGGCTTGGTGACTCGGGTTTGGGCTGTGTAGGACTGAGAGCAAGTGTGTGGTTACAGGTTGTGTAATGGTGGGTTGATGCGTTCGGGGTGGTTGGCCCCAAAACATAGCAACTGCAGTCACGTGGGTGTTGTTTTAGCAAATGACCTTTCTGCTTACATTCATATGTGCTTGTTTTGCTTCCTTTAAAATTCTTAAGCTATCTCATCAGTGTCCTTTGGCAGCTTTGCCTTTAAAATTCAGTTAATGTGACTCTTTGTGAATCAGTTTTTGAATTTCCAATTCATTTAACCTCTGTGTGAACAGCCCAGCTGTAGTCTGGGTGTGACGACCACACAATGCAGTGTGTGTGAACAGCCCAGCTGTATTCTGGGTGTGACTAAACCACACAATGCCGTGTGTGTGAACAGCCCAGCTGTAAGTCTGAGTGTGACTAGACCACACAGTGCAGTGTGTGTGAACA